TTTTTTCCAATTTTTCACAAATTTCGAGAAATAGCTTTCATGAGAAGCTGCATTCAAATGATATTCTCGACATTTGAACCTTATTTATATTTCAAAAGTACACGTGTCAAATCACAATATTAAATGTTCTCGACATTTCATATATTGTTCTCGACATATTAAATGTCTAGAATAACATTTCATTCTGAACATGACATTTCTTTATATTTGAAATGTCGTTCTCGATATTTCTGTACCAATGAAAAAAATTGCATTTACTGCGATTTGACAATTGTACTTTTGAAATAAATAGGTTATGGTTATGTGTCAAAAATTTATTGGCCAATAAATTTTTTAATAAAGTGGACAATTTTTGTGTTTATGTGGAATTATAAATTCTTAACAAGGATATTTTGTTCTAAATTCTTTCAAAATAGACATTTTTGCAATGGTGAACATTTTTGCAAATGGACACAAAAAGTGGACATTTTGTGAAATTTCCTCTTATTAAAATTGAACTTGGCTATCATTTGTCAAGAGTATTTAGTTTTGTTTGGTGATCCTTATTGATTACACAAGATTTTATGTATCCCATGCTATTCCGATCAGAACGTAAGTTTGTGATGCTTTAGACTACTTAACTTTCGTCAAATAAGGTGTAGACATTCATGCTACTTCGACTAGAAGTATGACCTTTGTACTACTCTTCAACAATCTTGTAAGCAAGAACTTGACCTCCTCTCAGACATAAGAAAACAACACAACAAAAAGTATGTTAAAATATTCATCTCAACAAAGAGTCAATACTGTCAAACTTACATTGCTTGATTAGAAACAATATTATTACTACATGTGCATCAAGTTTGACATCATGTGTTGGCAGTTTTTTTAAACATTGATTTTAACAACACTGTTTTCGATAAGTTGTTAGATTTCCATACATAGGGGTGTCAAACTTAATGCAAAAAGAGGGTGTACAAGTAGCTTAATTTGTTTGGAAAATGGGATAAAGCTCGAGTTTAATTGTGCGTAGAAGTCAAAAATAATTTATTGTGCTAAGATGCCTAAATTAAATAAATACACCTTTTCGAGTCTAATGTCACATCAATCAGCACACTAAAACCTAATATAAGAATATTCCCAATCAAGTTTTAGTCAGTATTAATCTTGATTAGCAGATAATTCCTGTTTTGCCACGTTGACAAGTTCTACATATTGACGTGGAGAGTAACATGCTAAGTTTCTGTCTTTTGAACTTTCTGTTTTCTGTTTACTAAAAACAGTTTTCCACTTTAATTGGAATCCCAATATACTTTTCTGTATTTGGTTGGTCAGTTTTAACTTTTAAAGCAGAAGTAAAGGTTGAACCCTGCCCCGTCCCTATAGCATCGTGGAGGAGGTAAATCAAGGAATGTGTCTCAGCAGGTCAGGATACATGAGCTGCCATACTGGTGCCTTCAAATAATCCAATTCCATACCTTGTAAGAGGCAGGAATCGAACCATCACACTGCAATTGTCAGTTTAACTGAGACTATCTTACTCTTGTCATTTGTACCACTAAGCTATGGCTGGGCAACTTTTAAAGCAGAAGTAGGTAGGTTCACATGTGGTAGCAGTTAATTCAAGAATGAAGAAGAACCACAAAATGTCAGTGATGTGCATATCTTATAGGAAGAAAGGGTACAAGTCAAAGATGTTGGGCTATGAGGGTGCAAGTGCCCAAATTGCCTTTGCTACTTTGCCTGTGTCAGTAGGCTAATTAGTGACTAGAAGGCGAAAGTATATGCTATTCCGAACTTCTTGTCCTTAAATACATATTTAATAATTCAGCCCATCACCTCTAAGTTAATAATGCTATTCGTCCTTAGATATGATCAATATTGATCTAGGCAATGTACCCCTTAATGTGCAACCTCAACTACCGATGATGACAACCAATAATAAAGTCGTGTTTGATAGAAATTCAAATATAGATTTTAATTCAAGTCAAAGTCAATAATTAATTTTAATCAAATATTTTTATAGAACTCACAACTTTTCAATCACACATTCATCAATTTTTATCAAAATCTACTAAAAACAAGATTTTAATCCCCCACCTAATAGAGGCTAAATAACATTACACCTCCTTAGGAAAAAGGAAGACACCTTGGTGCAACAAAATATGTTAATATCTTCTCATTTAACCCTTGTTTGAAAACCATTATTTTCAAACTTTTTTTTTCTATGTACTAATTTTCAATCACATATTCACACAATCAAACATTCTGCACGGTAATCCAAACTTTTTCTTTACTTTTTAGCCACACATTCTACTAAAAATCAATATTCAAAATATTATTTTGGGAAAAATTCATAAATAAGGTGTTTAGTTTACACCAATTCAAAAATCATGTTTATAATTTGAACATTCAAAAATTAGGGTTTTTTTTTAATTCTAATATAATATAATATAATAAACATACCCCACATGCACCACCCCTACCGCTTAGGAGATTATTCCAGCGACCATTCCTACTGCCACTCTTCTTCGACGACCATTTTGACGAGTACTCCGATTCCGGCGACTATTCCGACGACCATTCCGACTACTATTCCGGCAATCATTCCGGTCACAGATTTATAGTTGAATTAGTTACATATTATTTTTCAGTCACAAATACTAATTTTTATTTGTCACAGATTTACAATTTAAGGTTACAGCTCAAAAAATTTGTAGGTCACAATTAAATCGTTGGTCACAAATTTCAAAATTAGTTTGTCATACATCAAAATT